CCATACTGCCTCAGTTTCCCAATGAGGATGTTATGGGAGACAGTGTCAAAAGCCTTGCTGAAGTCAAGGTAGATGACATCTGCTGCCCTCCCCTCATCCAACCAACCGGTCATGGCATCATAGAAGGCTATCAGATTGGTCATACATGATTTACCCTTGGTAAACCCGTGTTGCCCACTTCCAATAACCCCCCACTCTTCAACTTGTTTGGAGATGACATCTAGTATGAGTCTCTCCATCACCTTCCCAGGGACAGAGGTGAGACTAACTGGTCTGTAATTCCCAGGGTCCTCCTTCTTGCCCTTTTTGAAGACTGGAGTGATGTTGGCCTTGTGATCAGTGGTTTCTCCAATAAAATTGTAAACAAAAAAATACTATTAAAGGAGGCACAGAACCACCAGGTCTTGCTTTCAGGCCTAAACCTGGCACTGCAGCAATTCCAAAGGGTGATAATTGCATAGGGAATTTCTGTGACATAAACACTAATTTATATTACAGCCAGCTTAATCACGTAACCACCAAACAATTGGTAGCAATGTGGGATGTACTTAAAAAGATACCTAAAAAGATACCTAAAAAGTACTACCTAAAAAGAAAGATAATTATCATAGCAGAGACTCTTCAACCTCTATTTAGAAAGTAAAATATTTAACAGTAAGATGTATTTCACCTAACACAGAAAAGGAAAAGTAAAATTCTAGACTACATATAAAATGGCAAATAAGCAAAGAAATCATAACACAGCAAAGGTGTCAGATAAGGATTTGAGCCCTTTAATCACACTGCTAATAAAGCTTGAATAAAATTAAGTCACCCATCATTTATTATAGCAGACAAAGTACAAGTTCAAATATTAAGCTAAAATATGATTAACTCAGCTTTCAGCTGGCTCCAAAAGCATTCATCTGCACTTGATATTGGTGAATACTTTCACACCAGCAACTATTACTTTCAGCCCTCGGGTATAACATCTTGCACCCAGAAGTAGCAGGAACACATCGGTATTTTTTCCCACACGCAGGAATATTAGCCTTGATACAACTACAATATCTCTTTATGCTTAGCCGTGCCAATATTTCCCTTTTGCTTTCTACCACATGCCTTAGTGTAAAATCTGTCTGATAAAACTAAAAGGACAGGGAGTTTTATAAAATGGAATAATCCCACTGAACATGCAATCAATTAACTGAAACATGGAGATGGATATTTTTTGAAAGCTCCTTACAGGCTTTAGACAAACACAGTGAGATAACAATGGAAAATTGTTTGGCTTACTAATTGTAACCAAATGCATGTCATTCTATCAAAACATTCTCAGGAGGATGTCAAAGACTTTTCCTTAAGTAAACATCTTATGTCATCCTTTTGCTGAAGTGGAACAAGGGTCTCCAATAAAAATAGTACATATTAAGGACCCTCAAAGAGGTTTATATATATTTATATGTGTATATATATATAATCTGATCTTTGAAAATGCAGCTTGAGAGGTACAATAATAATTTCACCCAGCTGGGCAATAAAAATTCCTGCCAAAAGAATTATGTAAAATTACATAAACCCTTTTTAAAGGGAATACATTTCAAGTAGATAAAGTATAGACTGAGTTACTTCACCTTTTTTTTTTTTTTTTTTTTACAGCTGTGTTCTACAGAAAGCATTTTAGTGTGTAAAATCTCTCTCCTTGTAAAATACTCCAAAGAGAAGCTAAAATTCAAACCTGACTGTAATGCGTAATACCTAAGTATTGGTATATATATATTTGGCATATGGTGCAAACTACAGAAAAGTTTAGCAGTGAGAAATAAACAAACCTCAACCAAATAAAAAGGCTTTTCACATCTGAAGCAATTGATGAAATAGCAACGAACAGCTAAAGGCAAACACTTATTCATCAAGGCATACTTTAACCTTTAAATACAATACATATCCAAGGGGAACTACCAAATAGTTAAAGCATTTCATCATTCTTAAAATGTTAATTGCAGTGCTGGACTTCTTTGCTGAAAAAGGAAAAACAGTTAAAGTCCCACATTTTTAAAAAGAACCCACACATTATAGCAATGGATCCAATCTTGGAACTTATATTAGCAAAGCATTCAAGCATGTTCCTATCCAAAGTTCACAGGAGAGCACTGTGCTTAAACAAGTAAGGTAAAATTAAGAAAATTAAGGTTAAACACAACTATTTTGCCAGATTTGTGCTCAATAATAAATAAATCAGTTTGCCCAGGATGCCCAAAGATAAGTTAATTTCATTCAAATAAACAGTTAAGTTTGTATTAATTTCAGTCACACAGAGTAAATATGTGAATAGAAAAGCATATGCTGCCATAGGGCCTTAGGAAGTGCTAAGCCTAAAGCTACAGGGAATTTCAGCCTTGTACAACGCTACAATAATTCTTGGCTGGGATTTCTGAGAATTCCCACTATAAATTCAACTTAAGAAAAGACTGCTTCATTACAACTTCATTCTCAGAATCAGAACAGAGCTCCCTCAAACAGATTTTTAACAGAGATTCTTCTAATGAATGGGGCAAAATATTTTCCCTCTAACTTGCTTTAGAGAAACTGTCTTTTATGGGAAACTCACACAAAATTTTCAAGATCTTGGAAAAAATTGCTAGAGATTGCTAGTTATCAACTCATTTCTCATAGTCCTCTATCAGCTCTGACATCCGAGAGCCATGGCTGCAGGAAATGCTCCCAAAACTACTGGGGAAACTGAGCCATAAGAGGCTGAGAATGTGACTAGCTGAATTACCAGCCTCAGGAAGGCAGGGATTCCATAATATTTATTCTTCATTTTTTTACTTTTCTTTCCTCCTTCTAGGCAGTCAACAGACTGTAGACCAAGAAGTACAGAAGCGTGAAAAGAAATAGGTCTTCTGATCCTTTTATCCTTTAGAAATCTGATTATCTGCAGAAAACAGAAGAAAAATCAAAGCACAACATAAATGTTTTAGCATAAGAACAACCAGGCTGGATGAGACCAAAGATGTCTCAAGCAGAGTCCTCCCTCCAGCAGCAGCCAGTGGCAGAAGCATGGGGAAGAGCAGAGGAACGAGGCTTGTACGTCAAGATTCTTCTGCTTGGATGTACTGCTCCAACC